CTTTAAACACCTCTGCCTCACGTTTATGGGTTAAATCGAAAGAAAAACAGGCGTTCTCTCCACAGATCTGACCTCTAACTCGGTCCAGTCTGATGTCCGTGGAGACAGAAAGGTTTAACGCCGCACTGCGAAACATTCCAGACAAAGCAACGACATCATTCGACAGACCCTCCACCAGAAAAGTTACACAATACATCTTTAAAACATCATGATTCCAATAAGAGGTAGCGAGAATTCAAGTCATTTTCACAGATGTATTATTTGAACAGCGCGGTGTGGTCTGGGGGCGGGGTTTGCGGTGAGCGTTGGGGGCGGGGTTTCGAGGGGTCCGGGGGTGGTACAGTTCACATCATGACGTGGCGGCGCCGGTGCAGAGACAGGTGGTCAGATCTGGAGAAGGAGCGGTCACACTCGGTGCATCTGAAGGGTTTGATCCCCGTGTGTTTCCGGAAATGACGCGTGAGTTCATCTGAGCGGCCGAGACTGAGACAAGACCGAAACCACGGCCCATCAAGACCAAATCGAGCTCATCTTTATCATTTTCGACATTTATTGTGTTTTGGGTTTTTTTCATTCACACATGTTTAACAGAAACGAAGCTCTTTCTGCTACGTCAAACGTGTCATCGTTGTAGCAGTTTTAGTTCGTTGTCACGTGAGAGGGTGGCAGAAATACACTGCAGTTTGTAAAAAAAAAAAAAGCTGAATCAATCTAAAAACGGCCCACACATCACTCTTAGAAGGTAGGCAGAAGGAAAGCTCTGAAAAGCTGATTTTACATGAGATTTGCCCTTTTAACAAGGAAAAACAGTAATCAGTGTTTCCCACAGAAAACTGGTTAGGGAAGGCGGTGCTGCCTAAAAAGTGAAGGGGGGGGGTATGTGGAGATGTGTGTATATGTATATTGCAGACAAGTAGTAGTAGTACAAGTAGATCGTGACAAGGTGACCCAAAAAAAATCTCTTGCGGCTAGGGATGGGCATGATTAATCGATAATTGATCATTAAGAATTTCATCGATTACATTAATTTTAATTGACAAACCAAATGTAAGTTGCTGTGTGTATCGTGACCAAACAGGTGTGTACATGTGTCTCTGCATCAGAAGGAGCGAGACACAAACAGAAACAGTGGGTCAGTCTGTAACGAACCGAAGCACAAATGTGGATTTAACGATGATTTGTACAAGAAATTCCACACTTTCCGTTGCGTTCGGGACAAGTGTGAGTCCATGTGCACAGTGTATAAAGCAGCACATATGTTTCTGTGTCCAGTGGGAAAAAGTTCACCAGGACACAGAAAACATGAAAAAGTTTTGCCAGGTGAGAGTCGCTCAATGTGGATGACGAGTCCCCACCTCCCTCCCCCCGTACGCTGTCCTGGTTTTGACAAACGGAAATCTGGTCACACTAACCTGTATTCACCTGAGTCATGTCTTTTAATCCAACAGAAATTGACCGCATCAGCGACGCAAGAGCTGTAGTTTTATCTTCACTTAGTTTATGCAAATTAGCGATGCGGTTTTAAGTTTCTGTGAGAGTTGTGCAAAACTGAATTAAACACATTATAATGTCAAACAGCTGATGTGGCTCTAGAGTCGTTACGGTTTATATGTCGTAAAGTTGAATTTATTTATGCAGATTAGTGCAGATAGTAATAATAATGATGATCATTTTAATATAAAAACGTTAATGATTAATCGATGATCATTAATTCTTCTGACAATCGATTAAGAAAATTTCATCGAATGCCCATCCCTACTTGCGACCCACCTGAGGGTCTCGACCCAGTCTTTGTCAAACAATGTTCTATATAATTTCAAACTAACTCCATGATGACTCGACCTTGGTGAGGAAGTCTGGGGAAAATTAAACAAATACTGATCATTTTCTGCCTTTCGTCTTTGCACGAAAACTTATTTTTGGCTCATGATACAAATGCAGAGAACAGGAACTGACAAGAACGGGTCAAAAGGAAATTTTGAGCTCAATATTTTTCACATGCAAATATTTCCTCATTACTAGTTGTCACATTTTGGGAGCCCGACCTATTATACTTTTGTCCTGACAAAACTTTGATGTCATTTTTCACAGTTTTGGTCTTTGTCTTTGTCTTTGTCGGAGAGTACAGACTGACCGCTCTCTGGAGGAAATCCGTGTTCGTAGATTTCTCTGATCCAACTCTGCAGCTCCGAGTCCTGCACCACGTCCTCATCTCCACGGTAACACAGGTCCAGCCAGCTGATCACAAACCTGCACAAGGTTTGTGACAAGGGTTAAAGCCTCACTATGGGACATTTCATCACATTAGCAGTGTGCGTTCTGACCTGAGGAGGGCGCTCCACACTCGGGGGGCGTCCTGGCCGTACAGACACCGCGGCAGGTCGCTCAGGCCACGCTCCTCCACGTCACGAGGGACACACAACGAACTGTACGAGAGACGAGAGGAGGACCGGGACAGGACCAGCGGGAGGGCATCCAGACCACACGCCACCGCCTCAACAACACACCCAACAGTTAGAGTTAGTCTGGGTTTAGTCCTGGTATAGTCCTATATTGTCCTGCTTCACTCCTGGTTCAGTCCTGGTTCAGTCCTGTTTCACTCCTCGTCTAGTCCTCATCTAGTCCTGTTTCAGTCCTGGTTCAGCCCTGGTTCAGTCCTGGTTCAGTCCTGGTTCAGTCCTAGTTTAGTCCTGTTTCAGTCCTGGTTTAGTCCTGGTTTAGTCCTGGTTCAGTCCTGGTCCAGTCCTCGTCTAGTCCTCATCTAGTCCTGGTTCAGTCCTGGTCCAGTCCTGGTCCAGTCCTCACCTAGCCCTGGTTCAGGCCTGGTTCACTCCTGATCTAGTTCGGGTTCAGTCCTGGTCTAGTCCTGGTTCAGTCCTGGTCTAGTCCTCTTTCAGACCTTGTCAAAGATTCCTCCTGAGTTCAGTAGAGCACTTCGAGCCTGGAAGTTGATCTGAGGCGACGTCTGAACATGAGACATGAGCAGCTGAAACACAGAACTGTTTTTTAGACCTCATTTTTTCAGTAAAGGTTTCAAGGATGAGTCCAGATGACCAAAGCCGAAACTGTCTCTACACTGACCCACTCCCGGACGAATGATGGATTACACCGTCTCACTTTATGTTTTCCTCTTTCACAGCAGACTGGCCCTTCTACAGAGAAACTCTCCAAACTGTATAAACTGTATTTATTTGTTCACTGTACATATCTAACCCCCAAGAAGTGAGCATGGGTCTGATTCAGCTCCATCAATTTTGGCTCCAATTCCTTTTTTAATAAAAAAGTGTCACTTCTCTCTGTGACTGCTGCTAATTTTTTTTTTATTCACCTGCTCTACATGATCTTGGGGTTGGAGTCCTGCACCGGGTCAGGTAATAGTTGCTGAAACAAGCGGGTTTAATGTTCAGGAATTTTACGGGCAGGTTTGCAGGCGGGTGGTGATCACACACAGGCAGGTCAGGTGAATCAAATGAACAACGAACAGGAGAAAAATACTTGACGTGCTTGCAAGACGTCTGTTATCCTGGAAACAAGTGTCATTTCCCGACTTTTCCTGGAACGATGGACCAGACCGACAGAGACTTTAGTGTTTTTATTACATAAAACCATCAGCGGAGGAGGTCGGCTTGGTGGCTGCGCTCCTGGTTTAGACCCGTTTTAGTTCTGGTTTAGTCCTGATTTAGTCTTGGTTTAGACCTGGTTAAGTCACGGTTTAGGCTTGTTTATATTTATAATTTGCTAATGACACGGCATAAGTTCAGTCCTGGTTTAGTCCTGGACTTTTGTGCTGTTGGACTAATGGGCTGACCCCGATTTATCACGGGCATGGGCGGGTAATGGGTAGAATGTTAACGAGTCCGGGCGGGTGTGGATTTAACTTTGATATAATCATGGGTTAACAGGTGGGTGTGGTGCTGGACTGCGTGGGTGCAGGTCTCCAAAAATGGACCCATGCAGGACTCTGTTGGGGTTTTTATTCCACTATTCTGTCCCTAAATTATATGAACGTTAATAACAAATCAGGTGTCTGGCCTGCCTTGGCCAACAGCCCAAACGACAGGTGCAGGCAGGAAGGGTTATTACCTTCACCAGCCTCGCTCCTGATTGGCTTTTTGGTTGCTGTGAAACACTTTTGGATTTTACTTAGGCTACGTTCAGAGTGCAGCCTGAAGTGACCCAAATCCTATGCTCCTGTATCTGATCTTTTAATGACAGATCCGATTTTGTTCAAATGCGATCCAGGTCACTTGGATATGTGCTCCTAAAACAGATACATACATATCTGATCTTTTGACATGTGACTTCAGTCTAAACGGACAGTTCACATTCATCCCACCTACACGTCAGACTCGGAGTCTCGTCGATGGAGGGAAAATGAGGTTAGTGAGTTCAATCATATTTGGGGGGATCGCTGTATTCAGGCCAACATGGAAGGGTCTTGTCAGAAATGATCTCCATAGAAATGTCGGAGCGCGGCTACAGTCAGCCCTGGCTCTTATGTCAACAAGAAATAAAGAGCCTGCGAGACAAATACAAGGAGGCTAAAGACTCAAACAAACGAAGGCCATGGACGTGTAACCTGTCCATTTTACCAACAACTGGACTGTATTTTGGGAGACAAGCCCAGCGTTTAGGCCAGTGGTCCTTAACCTTTTTATCTCCACGGATCGATTTTATGTCCGACAATATTTTGAGGACCGGGAACTGCGGCGGCACGGCATGCTTTAGTCCTGGTTTAGACCTGGTTTAGACCTGGTTTAGACCTGGTTTAGACCTGGTTTTATTTCTGGTTTTAGATGTGTTTTAGTCCTGGTTTAGCCCTGATTAAATCCTGTTTTAGTCCTGTTTTAGTTCTGGTTTAATCCTGGTTTAGACCTGGTTTAGTGCTAGTTTAGACCTGGTTTAGTCCCGATTAAATCCTGTTTTAGTCTTGGTTTAGTCCTGGTTTAGACCTGGTTTAGTCCTGGTTTTAGGCCTCGTTTATTCCTGGTTAAATCTTGGTTTAGTTCTGGTTTAGTTCTGGTTGAGAGATGCGTATGGGAGGGGGGGGCTTGTGCTTTCGTGGCCTGGTACCAAATGACCAAATGTGAACGACCTCAACAAAAAACTCGTATTTCACAAAAAAATCCAAATTGAGCATTAAGCCCTGTAGTCAGAACGTAGCCTTAGTCCACTTCTTTGTTGTACCTGGTACAGAGGGTGCACTGCCGGCAGCTGCCTGAGGGTGGCGACGGCGCACAGCTCGGACATCATGTGCGTGCGCAGGTAGTGCGAGTCGAGCTGATGCACCTGGAAATCGACCATTCGCAGCCAGAGCTTTGCCATCAGCCAATCACAGCAGGAGTCAGAGGGCAGGAAGACCGGGTTCAGGGGCCCGGGGGTCTGCTGCAGCTGAGGAACACAACGGTTAGACCTGGTTTAGACCCGGGCCAGATACTCATGCAGGAATGAACCTTTCCCAAGTAAGAGATTAATGACAGAAAACAGTCTTGAGTATGGAGTCTATTCATTCGTTTGGACAGTGGTACCTGTATGGCGATGGGCAGCAGCGCCCCCTGTGGGCTCAGGTGCAGCAGACACATCGGAGCGCTCAGGTACGACGGCTTCCCGTTGATCTGATTGGCTGGAACTCCCTCCAGCACCGAGTAATCCAACAGGTAAAGACGACCACTCTGCCACACAAGACCAGGGTCAGACCTGGTTTAGACCTGGTTTAGTTCAGGTTTAGTCCTGGTTTAGTTCAAGTTTAGTCCTGGTTTTTATCTGATTTCATCTGGGTTTAGACCTGGTTTAGTCCTGGATTAGATCTGGTTTAGTCCTTGTTTATTCTTGAGTTAGTTCTGGGTTATACCTGGTTTAGTCCCAGTTTAGTCTTGGTTTAGTCCTGATTTAGATCCGAAGAGGTGTCTGGCAAGTGGGAAGAGTTTAGTCCTGGTTAAGATCTGGGTTAGAGATGGGTTAGTCCTGGATCTGGTTTATTCTTGGTTTAGTCTTGGTTTAGACCTGGTTTAGTCCTGGTTTAGATCTGATTTCATCTTGGTTTGGACCTGGTTTAGTCTTGGATTAGATCTGGTTTAGTCCTTGTTCATTCTTGGGTTAGTTCTGGGTTACCTCTGGTTTAGGGCTGGTTTAGTCCCAGTTTAGTCCTGATTAAGCCCTGGTTTAGACCTGATTTAGATCTGAGGAGGAGTCTGGGAAGTGGGAGGTGTTTAGTCCTGGTTTGGATCTGGTTTAGACCTGGTTTAGCCCTGGTTTAGATCTGATTTAGTCTTGGTTTAGATCAGGTTTAGTCTTGGATTAGATCTGGTTTAGTCCTTGTTTATTCTTGAGTTAGTTCTGGTTTAGTCTTGGTTTAGACCTGGTTTAGTCTCACCTGAAGCTCTTGTTGGAGGGAGGAGCCTGCAGGGAGGAAGGGGCGGAGCATGTCACAGGTGACTGACAGGTTTTGGGGCAGGGTCCGGACTCGTTTCAGGGCCAGAGGATTTGGGCCGGTCTGAGCCTGGAGCCCGAAGAACCAATCCTCCCTCCAGTGGGTCTGAACAAACTCTGGAAAACACAAGTACTGTCTGGATACTGCAAATACTGATGAGTACTACTATTCCGAGTTTTATTTGAACACAGTCTTTCCACGAAGAGCTGCCACGGTTGGAACTAAAACAAGTGAGCTGATTTGTGCGTTTGTTTTCTCTCGTTTGTGATTATTGCATGGCTGTGGCAGTGGGTTCATGGTTGTTGCTGTGGGTTGTTTGTGAGTCTGGGGTGATGGTGTGGGTTTTGTTTGTGGTTGTGGCCAGCGGTTGTACTCTCTGGTGAAGTGGTTGGAGTGGTTTGGTTGTGGGACGGTTGTTGGAGTTGGTTGTTGCAGTCGGTGGGGTCATTGTGAGGCTGTTGTTGTTGTTGTGGGGTGGTGGTTGGTTGTGGTCGGTGGGGTAGTTCTGGGGTAATTGTAGCTGTGGTGTGGTTTTGATGGTACTGTTGTTGCTGTAGGGTGGTTTTGATGGTACGGTTGTTGCTTTGGGATGGTGGTTGTTATTGTGGTGTGGCTGTGGTGGCGTGGTTGAGACTGGTGGAGTGGTTTTCATGGAGTAGTAGTGGTTGGGTTGTTGTGGTGGGGTGGTTGTTGCTGTGGGCTGGTTGTTGGTGGTTGATGTGGGATGGTTGTGGTGAGGTGGTTGTGGTGGGGTGGTTGTGGTGGGGTGGTTGTGGTGAGGTGGTTGTGGTGGGGTGGTTGTGGTGAGGTGGTTGTGGTGGGGTGGTTGTGGTGAGGTGGTTGTGATGTGAAGTTGTTGTTTGGCGGTGAGGTGGATGTGATATTGTTGTTTGGCGGTGAGGTGGTTGTGATACTGTTGTTTGGCGGTGAGGTGGTTGTGAGGCTGTTGTTTGGTGGTTATGGCGTGGTTGTGGTGAGGTGGTTGTGATACTGTTGTTTGGCGGTGAGGTGGTTGTGAGGCTGTTGTTTGGTGGTTATGGCGTGGTTGTGGTGAGGTGGTTGTGGTGGGG